TCAGCAGGGGTCCAATGCACAAGGGTTCTTGCACTCATGTCCCTTGCCCAGGCCACATTCACCTTGCCCTGCTCCTTTGAGTGACCACATAGGCCATCAGACATATCTTTGCACTCCTTGGCCAGCGCTGGCACAGCCTTTTGGACCTCTCCCATGACCCTCATCTGCATGGTGGCTGAGCAATTTGCCAAACACTGGGATAACTCTGCCCCTGGCCCTTCACCAGTAACACAACCCACCGGTTCCCTAACTGGGGCCAGTGACTCACTCATTTTACTCATGGCTCCCTCTATGCTGCATCACTTGGCCTTAGGCCCACTTGCAACCTCGGGCAGCCAAAAACTTACATGGGCCTCAATACTCATCCCCATCTCTCTGGGGCCTCAACACACTCATCTCCTCTCTGGGGCCTCAACATACTCACCCCCATGCTGAGGCACCAGGGTCTTACACCCCACAGGCTCAGGTGCCTCTCAGTAGGCATGCCTGGCCCCGCTATCTCCGGGTTCTTACACTCCCATGGGCGTACCTGTCCCTACTCCCCTCTCTGGGGCCTCAACACACTCGTCCCTATCCTGGGGCTCTGGAGTCTTACACCTCCAAGGGCTCAGGTGCCACTGCCATGGGCGTGTCTAGCCCCATTCCCCTCCAATCTTAATAACCCACCAAATAGCAAGGGCTGGGGTTTTAAGATGCCCCTCCTCGCCTTTCACCGGGGAGGTAACTGGCCGGGCATTTCTGGTTAACTGTACCACCACGCCCAGTCCCACCAAGCTACCCTTCCCCGTCAGGGTGCAGTTTTCGGTCATATCCAGGACCAGGAGCCTTCTGCCATCCCCAATAGCTCATGCCCTTACCTCCAAGATGTTCCAAGCAGCAGCTCAGCCAGATGTTGCCTCCTCAGCCGCTAGCAGCAAACTGCTAGCTCAGCACTGACAGCCTGGATCTAAAATAGCTGCCTCATCAGGGCTGGCCCACACCTACTGGCTACCTGCTCCCAGCTCTTAAAGTGGCAGACACCAAAGGTGCTCTGCCACCCACCTTCCCCCTTAAAATGGTTACTAGGGGAGGCTCTCCCTGCTACTCAGAAAGCAGGCTCACTCATAGCCTGCAACATCCCTTAAGTGGTAAGCACCCTCATGGTGCTCTGCCTTCCACCTTAAAATGACTACTCAGGGGTGTCTCCTGGTTGCCCTCCTTGCAGGCACTTTTCCAGCCTGCTGCAGCCCACACTAAGTGGTGAGCATCCCAGTTGTGCTATGCCACAATGGAGAAAAGGAAAGTAAGTAATTTTTCCAATGTAAAGCATGCATATTTTCAAATGTCAAGTGGCAAAATAGATAGGATTCTTGCTTTTCTCAAAAAGTACAGAACAATCCGTTTTTGTACTCTTCAAGATCCAATGTACTGTTAAATGAAACTCTATTTTGAAGGGGAAAGAGCAAAACACTGATGATGCTACAAGTGAGATTTTTCAGTGACATCATCATTACTGAAGTATCACTATGACAGTAATTTAAGAGGCCCCTTCAAGCCTATCCATAGAGAGGCACTAAACTTGATAAAAGTAATTGAAAGAGTCTTCAGAGGGGCTCGAGAGATTACAAGCTGATGGCATTAAAGTTGCAGAATCAGTGAAATTTGGCTTGATCATTTCCAACAAAGAACTGGACTCAAGGACTTGAAAAATGGGGTCAGTAGGAGACTGAATCTTTCTGTTACATAGCCAGTGCAATTGATCCTAGATATACAGGTCACAGTGTCAGCTGGGAACCAGAAGAAGAAACTGATATATGGCTGACAATACATAATTTTTGAGTGCCTTCCATCTTGCCTAACCTTTAAAATTGAAGGTACATATTTCTTAGCACATACTTATATTTTTGAAGGAAGCTGCATCACAGCTTGTTGTTTCCAAATAATGACAAACTACAGCTATAACATCATGAAAAACAGGACGTTTGAATTCAGAACATTGTCAATTCGTAATAAAGCTGCACTCCCATCCTGCTTTCTCAGTTTTAATAAAACACATTTTTCATATGTTCTGATTGGTTTCAGCATAATATGCTGGGTATAGGCAAAGCATATAACTTGGCAAAAGTTGGGGAGAGCTACATTCTTGTGTTTTCATGACAGCTTGCAATCTTTTCACTTCTAATTATATTAACTTCTTCTGTTTGAAGAGCAAATATTCTCACAGAGTAAATCACGTTAAATGTTGTTTTTTTTTTCACTATTTTTTCCAATAGTTTGGAGAAAATGACAGCAACCCTGCTTTAGAGGAGCACTGATGATGACTTTTTTGCTTTGGCAACATCTGGGCATTTTATGTTCTTGAGCAGAGCTTTGAAATTTCTAGCTCACAATTTCAGCAAACTTTACCTGGATTTTACAATTTTACTAGATGTAATAAAAGTTTTTAGATACAGAACTGAAGTGTTTAGGGAGCTTCATAATTTAGTGATGGAATTTCTGCTTTCAAACCCTTAACGCATCAGTCAGAGATATAAATCCAATTGTTGACAGGTTGTGTCAGAACAGATTTCTTCTCATATTTGGTCACATTGCACAGATTTATTGAAAATGCTTAATGTTGCCTTTCCCCAGTTTCTTTACGTGGGATATAATATTACTGTGAATGCTCTGCTTTTTAAAAAAAAGAAATAAAGAAAAGAGAACTGGTAATACCTGCACTTCAGTGAAAAATGAAAGGAACAAGTTAAAAATGTATTATTTTTTTTAAAAATAAGACTCAATAAAAAAGGATTGCTTTTGCAATTTGATAACAGCTAGGAAAGAAATGTAAAAAAATCCTCCTACTGATAAGAAAGACTCTTCAAGTAGTAAGAATTTTATTCTAAGGGTGGAAAAAAATGAACCCAGAGATTTTGAAAACTTGGAAGACTATGGTTGTTATTTCTTAATAAAAGCTTTGTGTATGATGTGGCAACTGTTTCTGCAGTTGTTAATTTTCTCTGGAAATGCTCCAATACAAGCATATAGTTCAGTGTTTAAAGCAATAAGCACTGGCACCTTAGGTCTAACAGTCTTCTTGACTAACCTTGGGCAAATATCCCAGTTTACCACTCTGTTTAATAGATGTAATAAGGGTGAGAAAAATCTAAATATCTATGTTAAAGTTTACAACATTGTTTGTACATCATGTGTAAAAGTTGCTGTTTAAGCCCAAAATTATCATCTTTGAACCAAATCCTGAACCCTTTGCTTAGTTCTTACTCGGTGTTTAAACAAGCCAGTTTTATCAATCAGATTGGAGTCTCTTGATAATACTGAGGGTTTGGATGGTGATGATGATTTTACACTGGTAATTCCTGGACTATTTAGAACCAGGACAGACTGAAAATCTTCCACAAGAAAATCAGATTTCAGGAGATGTTTAGACTAGTTACAAACCAGAAGTTTATACAAATTCAGATAAGATTTGGAGAGACCTTAAAGTTCTTGTGTGCTTAATAAGCAGGAATCCTAGTTTTCCCTGATTTAAAAAGAACTCCAATTTTCAGTTAAAAAAGTAACATTTTTCCATGTTTTAAATGAAACATCATTAATATATAGCTATATAGTATAATGATAATTAATATATATATATATATATAATAATGTATAATATATAGCTATATATTAATGATGTTTCATTTAAAACATGGAAAAATGTGGATTTGGGGTTACTTCCATTTAACTGAAAATGGAGGATTTTTTAAACCAGAGAAAACCAGGATCCCTGTTAATAAGTTAGTTATCTGTTATTTCTATTTACATTATTATGATTAAATGTACCAAGTGAGTGAGGAATTATAACCAGTTCCCAACATCAGATACAGTGGTGGAAATCACAGATAACATGATTAGAGTCACTGACATCACATTCTGGAAATTGCCTCATTATAGATTCATAGATTCACAGATTCATAGATTCATAGATGTTAGGGTCGGAAGGGACCTCAATAGATCATCGAGTCCGACCCCCTGCATAGGCAGGAAAGAGGGCTGGGTTCAGATGACCCCAGCTAGATGCTTATCTAACCTCCTCTTGAAGACCCCCAGGATAGGGGAGAGCACCACCTCCCTTGGGAGCCCATTCCAGACTTTGGCCACCCTTACTGTGAAGAAGTTCTTCCTAATGTCTAGTCTAAATCTGCTCTCTGCTTCCTTGTGGCCATTATTTCTTGTAACCCCCAGGGGCACCTTGGTGAGTAAAGCCTCACCAATTCCCTTCTGTGCCCCTGTGATGAACTTATAGGCAGCCACAAGGTCGCCTCTCAACCTTCTCTTGCGGAGGCTAAAGAGGTCCAGGTGCCCCAGTCTCTCCTCGTAGGGCTTGGCCTGCAAGTCCTTAACCATACGAGTGGCCCTTCTCTGGACCCTCTCCAGCTTATCCACATCCCTCTTGAAGTGTGGCACCCAAAACTGGATGCAGTACTCCAACTGAGGTCTGACCAGCGCCCGATAGAGGGGAAGTATCACCTCCTTGGTTCTGTTCATCATGCATCTGCTGATGCACGATAAAGTGCCATTAGCTTTCCTGATGAAAGGAAAGTGCCATTAGCTTTCCTGATTATATTCCTTTTAAATATTGATCAGCTCATTTTTGACTGCCTAACCTGAATCCAGAAGTAAAAACCTCCATTTACAAGTTGTATAATTTCACACACAAATATCTTTTTGTACATGCTAATATCCTATCCACACTAACAATGCATGGTTCTCTACATATAGAGTGGTATGTATGTGTGAAAAGAGCACATACATTTTAATGACTAAAATGTATGCACCCAGCTTTGTAAATATGACCATTTGTGATTTTTCTGCAGAATCTATCTTTTGTTTTGAACTTCCACAAGCACCCATAGAATTGTAAAGTATCTTTAATTCTCACTCTCTCTTTTTTTCTTTTTAGCTGTTGTCAGTGCCATTCCAGTACCAACACTGGAAAGTGCCCAGTACCCAGGAATCCTACCATCTCCAACATGTGGATACCCACATCCACAGTTCACTCTTCGACCTGTGCCATTCCCAACGCTCTCTGTTGACCGGACTTTCGGAACAGGAAGAAGTTAGTACTTTTTTTTCTTTTCTTTCAATATTTATTTCTGAGAAAATGCTTTGAAAATGAAATCACACGGTACCTCTTGGCTGTGTTTCTATAATTTTTTTCTGACATAAGCCAGTGATAAACAGAGGGAAAAAAGATGTATTTTGCAGGATAAGTGCGAGGTCCAGTAAGATTATATACTACCTGTGAACCCTTGTGCACATGAGGAGGGGGAGGGGGTTTCCACATTGTCTTAATCTGTCTCCTTTAAAGTAACATGATGGATGTCAATTTATGCCATCCATTTGGTCTAAGTTGCCATGCTCTGGGACAGTTTGACATGACAAAACCTCATGCATGTGTACATGGTGACACCGTTATGCTTGCCAAATGGGAATTTTTCATCATGTGTACATGGGCAAATTGGCACGTGTACAAGTGCTTACTGAGATTAATTCCTTCTTCTCAGATTGAACGATTTATGGTACAGGTGACAGGTCAAAAATCTCGAAATTGCTCCACGCGCTATTCAAAGTTAAATACGGTAGGGGATGCCACATAACAATTGAACCCTTCTGACCTCTTAATACTAAATTACAGCAGGGAGCACTAAACTACAGCTCACACAATGTGGTACGTGCAGATCAGCGACAGTTGTTTAGTTTTATTAAATGACATATTTTACTTAAGTGTAATTTCAGTACTTTCATTACTGTCATAATGAAAGTACTCATTTTCAGGAATGTGACTGTGCTCCTGGGTGCCTAGCATAGTTCAGGCAAACCAGTTTTCAACACATCCTAGCTGTCAGTAGAGTGAATTTGGACATGACTAACAGAAAAAAGGTTTCTTTTACATATTTATTTAATTTAATTAATGGACTTTAAAAGGAGGTCAGCAGCAGAATGATTCATGTCAGGCTCTGCAGCTCCAGCTGGTGTGCTGAAACATTCATTACACAAAAACGCCTGTGAATTACATGGCAAATTACCTGAAAGTACCAGTGAATTGTAGCAGTACCTGGTGGGCAAGAAGGCTGAGGATACATAATTTGGAGAGTTGACATGTATGTGACATGTACACATGACAGATTTTTTGTCCACAATGGGAATATTTGCCATGATCAAACTAAAATACTTTGGAGGTGGTCTAAGTTGCCATGCTCTGGGACAGTTTGACATGACAAAACCTCATGCATGTGTACATGGTGACACCGTTATGCTTGCCAAATGGGAATTTTTCATCATGTGTACATGGGCAAATCAGCACATGTACAAGTGCTTAGTGAGATTAATTCCTTCTTCTCAGATTGAACTAATATGCAACAGTAGAACAATACCTTGTGAACGGGATTCTCAAAAGTACTTAGTTGATGGTGTGCTTTTGTTCCCCTGGAAATCCAATGAAAATGACTTTTCCACCTCTTACCGTGCAAACTTTATTTTAAACCCAGGTATCTTAATATTTTACTAACATTTCTTTTCCAGCAGAAAATATCTGATAATGCATATCAGGTGACACTCCTTAAACTGCAGGATCCTCTGTGGTAATTAAGCCCTTTCTTTGTAGCTGAAGGTTTAAAGTGTTATGGTAAAGGAATCTTTAGTTCATGCCATTCAGACTAAAAATCCTGAGTAGAGCCAAGACAGACTTGTGTCAGTGCTGCTTTGTAGAGCTTGCAAGTTGTTGGATCTCATCTGCATGGTCTCTACAAAGAGTTTTGAACCATTTGAGTTTTGCAAAAACAGTGTGTGTTAAGGGAGGAGAGAGAATCAGACTAAAACAGCAGCAGCAGTGCACCTAACATACCCAGTGTTAAGCACTGCACAAGTTTACCCAGATATGTCCAATTAATTTCGCTGAACACGGAAGAAATATTTCTGGTTGATGCATCATTTTACTAACGTTTCCCTTTCACTGACCATTTAGCCTCTTCTCTGATATTTGGCATCTCCAATCATCCTTGCTGTCTTCCTTTTCCGGGTCCCCTCAGTCTCTTACTTTATTTTAAACTACCTTCCTGTGACAACTTCCAGAAAGCTGTAGCTTTCCAGGAAAACTATAACATGTAATGTCCATTGTGTCCCTTAGAGAAGTAGAATTGAGTTTTGTTTGTTCCCATGCCTACGTGAAGGGTTTCCAGCATCACTTTCATCTCTTATTTTCTAAGCATCTCTCACTATTTTAACATAATAATGACTGGTTTTGTATGGTAATTATAATGGAGGAATCATATTATCTTATAATTCTCTTTTAACTTTGTTCTACTCTATATCAGGTATGACATTGACAGATTAATGTCAATCAGTTATACCCATTTTTCATATTATAGGGATTTCCTGCTGCTCACCCATGGAGATGTCAAAATGAGTGATTTTTCCTCCTCTTGCTTGATTTTTGCTTTTAATCAGTTTGGTCATGAAGACCAGCAACAGCACTTCTAATCAAGGGCTCAAAACAGAGTACAGGCTCAGATATTCTCACCATCATTGGTGTAATTTCCTCTTTCTGAGGCTAGATGGTGGTTGTCTTTTAAGTCCTAGCTAGTGTGGCCACTTCTTGGTTCAGACTCATGCCTGCTTTTGCCTGGTTGTTTCCATATACATTTCAAAATTATCATAAACTCAACAGAGGAACACAGGACAGAAGACACAAGGTAAACATCTAATGGCACTGTTCAACTTGCAGCGTAGATAGCTAGCTGGAAAGAGGACATTTGAAAATTGGAATATCTGGTCGTGTTCCTGTAGAGTTTAAAAAAAATAAAAGAACGAGGTAGTGCACCTCTGATAGGCACTTTATAAGTGTCCACAGGGGCAGCAGGGAGTGTGGCTAACGGGGAAGGATTATACCAGTCATAAATTGTCAGTACCATAAGTAAGTGTGGACCTTGTCACGGTAGACAGATCTTTCACTTTTACAGAGCAAAGTAGAACTGAGGCAAATTTATCACTAGATAAATTGGTACAAACACAACACGCCAGCAGTGACATCAAAGAAAGCACCATTAGTTCTAAACATCCATCAGGGATGGAAACTCAATGGTGTATACCACAAAAAGAATCTGGGTGGACAAAATTTGTTTAAGTATCAATCCATCATAAGGCACAAACTGTTTTTATTCACCCTTCTGAAAAGCTCACTTGCTTGCTCACACACATGCATGCATACTGCTTGCCAGCCCACTCATCTTCTCAGTTTGTATACAGCCCACTGATCATATTTTCAAAGTAACAGCACTTAAAAGCTCTCTTGAGAGTCCCCCAAAAAAGGTACGTGCAGAAATTTATGGCAGGATAACAATTTCAGGGAAGAGTGTGTGGAAAGTGAACATCTGATTGTTAATACACAAGAGTTTTCCAGAAAAGGGTCAATAAAAATCAGATTTAGGGGTGGGGCATTCAAACAAGGAAGATGAGGATGGGGCTTACAGTGTATCTGCTATTGCAGTAACTGTCTGTGTGCACATTCGAACTCTCAGCATATGCAAACTAATCCATAGTAGTTTACCTCAGTAAGAGATGAAAAAGCTTAATTTTTCTATTAATCTTTGGTAATGTCAGATCTTCAATAAATATAGATAGCTGAGGTTTTAGGTCTTCAAGGAAATTCTCTATTGAACAATTAGGTTTCAGGGGATGTTTGGATACCAATGTATTTCAAATAATTCAGGTTTGACTAATTAGGGCTGTATGGCATTTCAGAAATTGTCTAATATTGCTACACTGAAACCATGATGAGCTTGAAATTTCATTTTTTTGAGAGCTTGATTGTCTGTGGAGGGACATTGACTTTCAAAGGTCTTTGAACATACTGACCATGCTGTTCACTTCCAAGCAAAAAATCCTCTACCAGGGTTGTGCCTCACATTTTCCAGTTACAGTAAGGCATGTTCATAGACAAGCAGATGGGAACATTGCTTGTTTTAGCTCTGACAGCCCGCCAAGCAATCGACTGTCTTTCTCTAGCAGCACAGTGGGTTTGTGTTCAGCCTAAGGGGAATGGAGGGAAATATAAATATATTTCTAGCATGATGTCTAGACATTTTATCAGCACTGATGCTGCGACCCATGAATGCTGGGACCAGCAGCAGTATATAGTTTGGAAGAATGGACGTACATGTTTTTTCTCAAACATATCCAGCCAGCAGACAATGTTTAAAGCTGCTGAAATGTCAGCTTCGTGTGTGGATGACCTCTTCCATTCTCATATGAAGCCTTTCTGTTGCAGAAACTGGCTGGAATGTAACAAAAATATTTCAAAATTCTGGACAGGCTCAGATCAACTTATTTGGCTGATATATTAATCAACAAGACTGCAACACTGCAATAACTCCTTTAAGATGAATTCTACCTGCAGTACTACACGACTGAATACACTATTGATCAGGACATAGCAGTCTTTGAACAGTTTGTGTGCAGCGCCATTAGGGAAAGCATCGTTTTGCATTTGCCTAATGGACTATGCTTGAACACCTCTTTCTAGTCCTGGAAGCTGTTACAATTGACCCAAAGATTTGAATGCTGGAAAACATCTATATATCAAGTTTTCCTGCTGATGAAGAAACTAAAGACTATGAAGGTGAAAGCCATACTTGAGTCAGAACCAGCCTTGAATAATATGCCTTTATGTCTGTTTGACCACTAATGCTGAAATGGCCAGCCATAACATGTACCAACTGCCATATGTTAACTCTCCATCCTTAAAACGAGGAAAGATATTTGAACCAGAGGTGACTTACCTTTGAGTAGGAGTTCCTATTAAAAATTAGCCTCCATCAGAAGAGTCCTTCATGTTTTCCATCTCTTCAGCACGTACTCAATGTTGGGGAAGGATTTTGAGATTAAGTAGGATATACTGGGATCAAAATGCAAAGAAGCCTCAGGTTTTTTCCCCTCTCCATTAAGTACAGAGATTTCTGTATCTTCGGGGTCTTAGAGAATGAGAGAAAAGGGGACTCAGATGAGAAGTTATGATTCAGGTTCAACATACAAAATGTTGAGGTGATACTGGTTTCTCTG